ATACAAAGTATTTATACATGGACCATATCTGTACTGAACTACTACCCGAAGAATATATTTGTGAAGATAGCCCTGCAAAATACCTGCAAAACAACCCACCTTGCGAAGTCCAGGTCATATTATATAAAAACAATATAACGACCTGCAATCCAATGGAGATCAACCTGCAAGAACCACAAATCACCAAAATAAATAATGGAAAATGGCTAGTGACAGTTCCCGAGAAAACAATCGCCCCAATAATTTGCCCACACACAAAGGATAATATTCTACTTACGGGGTCACAACTAATTGAAACTACTAATGAATGTAGCCTCATAATCAATTCAATTGCCCTTCGAAGCAACCAACCTACCCTATCAACATTCAAGGAACAATCCCTACCGGCCATAAGAATACCAACCCTCTACGAAAAGAAGAACGTAACATTTAACCCAGTTTCCCTGGATTTGAATAGCATCACCCTGGAAGCCACTCGTAAACTCCAAATACAACTGGAAGCACAAAGACGAAACATCCCAGAAATAATTTCTCCAATTGATATCAAACATAAGTTTTTGGGCAATTATAATTTATATAATTATTGTAATGGGTTGCATTTGCATATTATATAAACTTTTAAAAAGTAAGTTAAATTTAAAGAAAAACAAAATTGCAAACAACGACATAATTCTTTAATGTAAAACTACACCCATATAGGGTATACTTTTATCTAAAAGCGGAGGAGTTACAGTCGCCTTATCACTAAGACTGCATTTCAGCCAGACGCAATTCAGCATCTTATTGTCTATTGTTTAGTTCACAAGATTGTTTTCCTTATCATGCAAACCCAAGATCACGAGCATTCTCATCCTGTACTCGCTTTAATAAAGTTGTTTTTAAAAACACGTTCTTTCGAGACCACATAGTAACTGTGCGGTCTTTTTTTTATTACTTCAAAAGTGCGTTTATAAGTGCAAGTGAAATTTGTGTTGCTCAATTTTGCAAGAAACTGATAGTGCTGATGATCTACCAGTCAAAATAATGATCTAACTTAGTTTTCCGGTAAGTTCCAGAATTTTTTTACAATCTATTTAAGCCCTTTCTGCCATAAAATGTACGTACATTTCATGTAAAAGATGGAACCAAATGTCATGTTCCAACGATTAATAGTTAATGACCTTTTTAAACCCTTTAAGTGAACTAGTCGCTTTTGCACTTTATTCCTCGTTATTGTCTATTGGCATATACTTACAGGGTGGTTCACTTTTAATATGCAGGTCTTAAACGGCATATACACCCAAAAAAACATTACGATAATGTCAAATATACACTTTGGTCAGAGCCAAGATCTTGTCTCTTCTATGGCACAAAAATGTCGCCAGGTGGAAGTAACGGCAATCGTAGCTTTTCTCGAAAAATCAGTTTTAACTGCTAGCAAATTGTCCTTGAGTTTAGTACCCCTATCACTTGTTTTTCTTTAGTTCTTTACTCCTCAGTTCAACCTGTTTTAGTCATTTTTATTCCCAGATTTTTATTTTTTGATGTACTAGGTCCAGGTCATCTGCTGGTTTTTCCCCTATACACATACACATATTGGGTTTTGTTCAAATTTACCTCTAGTCCCCATTTTTGCTTTTTATTCTTCTTTCAGCTTTTCTACATTTAGGTCTTGCTTGTCTTGAGTAATCACTACCTGGTCATCTGTATTGTAATGTATAAAATGTGTTTTTTTATAAATTAGTTACAAAATGAAAATAATTAAAATCACAACTTTGTAACAATAAAATATATTCAACATTTATTTGGTACACAGAACAGGAAAAATGTGTATGGCGACTTTTATAGTCTACTAGAATTTCTCTTTGCCAAACATTTCATCAAAATCTGGGTTGTCTTCCACGCCAACCAAGTCGGAATTACCGCTGTGAATACTGAAAACAAATCAGACAAAACAGTAAAGTTAATGTAATCATTATGGCTTTTGGATTAAGATCCATTCAAACTAATAATTTAGTTTCCGGTATCGAAGATGTATTTGCATTGATATCACTTTTTATAAACAATCTTCTGTATTCAAAGTTGGTCGTTAGTGCGTCAACGTATGGTATCTCAGAAAATATAGTTTTCCGAAGGATACGTGTCCTATGAAAGTTTTGTTGTTGTTACCACAACAACAAAACTTTCTATTAACTATGTTTTTTCAATAAAACCCTAATTTTTGGATATTTGCGGATTTATCATAAAATGTGTGTGGACCCCAATTTCTGTGACTCAAATTTTTCATATAAAAAATTCAAATAAATATATAAAATTTTAATTTTTTTTAGATAAAACATCTAACATAAAGTTAGTTACAAAGCTAGTTATAACGGCAAAAAATGGGGGGTTCCATTTAAAAAACCATAGTTGATACCACACAGGTTTATGACGTTTATATGACGCACCCTTTATATCGGAAAACTATCTCCTAAGCAGCAAAAAATTTCACAAGAAACATTTCCTTCTAAAATTCATGGTTACTGCAATTTCGCACTTTGACTCACTAATGAACAACCCTATATATATTGTATTGATTTTTCTAATTCGGTTTTACTTTAGTAAGTAGCAATTTGGTTGCAAATTTGATAAAGCTGATGAATTAAAAAAGGAATAAAGAATATAATTTAAGAAATAGCAATAAATACATACAGTTTCAGTATGAATGGGATCTCTTGTGGATTCGAATAGAATACAAAAGGAATCAAGCAGAATTATAGAAGATTTTAAAATGGTTTACCTTGAAGCGTCATTTGGTATTTTATCGTCATTGGTAAAATCGTTTTTGAAAACAGGATTCGACCCTTCCACAGCAAAAACGTTGGTATTCGGTGCGTTGATGCCTTTTCTATTAATAGTAGACTCATCTGATCCAAATTTCCTTTCAGTTAATCTAGTTATCCTCCGACTCAATCTGAAAGTAGTATGTAGTAGTATAGAGTTTAGGTCTTCCTAATAGGAAAGAAGGGGTCTTAATCCAGATTGGAAACGAGTTTTGCGGCAAACATTTGAAGCACCGCCCACTCCCCACGCATGAGCTCACACGGCCGGGCCGCATAAATACGACAGGGGATCCAGTAGTTGAACCACACAGTTGCTCATCAGCTCTCGTCAGATGAACAACAGCTCTTCAAACGTTCCACTGTTTGACTGTTTTACTATTTGCTACAAAGTGTTTCACACTCG